TTTAATAACATTTCGCCTATTTTCATATAAATAGTGTATTCTGGCATAAAAGAACGAGTCCGATCTTGATTCAAAGTTGTCTTTTACGTTTTTGAGTGAGAAGAAGATAACCAAAGCAAGAAATATTCTAAGCAGCGATTGGAGCAAAACTTAGCAGGTAGAAAAAGGATCGTTTGTGGAATCACCATATCAGTAAAATTAACGGTTGATCTCTTCGAAAGTGGCAAACAGCTCTCATGGCTTCACTTCATGGTTAGGCAAATGAATGAGAAAGTGGAAAAAATCGGCATTTCGTCATTTAGAAGAACTTCATCGGTTTTTTGCACTGAACTTTCTTCAAAGATTTTTCCAAATTTTTTGAAAGATTTCATGTTTTCCTATTTAATCTCATTAAATATTGCGAATTTTTAGACAAGGTAAACTCCCAAACCGTTACTATTTATTGGACTCCACATACATCTGGCCTTGTACCAAACATTGCTACAGATTCACGTCACGTAACATTGTTACGGCGCCACCTATACTGTAGAGATAGCAGTAGGAGTGTGTATAAGGCCAGATAGTCAGAGGGCGCCCGTCCCACTTCAGATAGGATTTGAATTCAGTATTTCTTTATATTGCAAGACTAGAGTACTTAGCTAGCCATGTTATTTTACACGTAGCTGGGGATGAGGAGAAGTGATGGATGCAGGCCTTTTCCGAGGGTATTTATTTGAGAGTGAAAGTAAGAAACTCGGAAGGAATTCGAACCCGATTCGCCGATTTCATTTTCCTAAACACTAACCATCACACTACTCTAAAATCCATGACAATGAAATAATGAGCTCGGCCATGACGCGAGTTCATATCTCAAAGTATTTGGCGGGATTAATGGAATTGCATGCAAATATAAATAATGAAATTATTTAAATGGGAGTTGAACTCTGATAATGGTAAAATTCTTTGTATATTCTAGGAAATAGAAAGAAATCCCCGAGAAAGATTTTACGCCTCACCAGATATTGTAAGACATTTACAGCGAGGCGATTTTAACTAGATGTCGTTAGGTGAAGTAATGGATAGCGGCTCGGATTGAGGAATCGGAGAGCTGAGTTCGAAGTGCAGTTGCATACATTACATTCACTTACGAGCTAATCGCCTTGGTACTCTAGCGATTGGTAAGTACCAGGGCAGACTGGCTAGCTAATCCACGTTGCACAAGCCTGCTTACGCACAGTTTTATTTGTTCAACACTCACATAGCCTACCTGTGGTATATACTGCAACTATGCTGAGTGGATCGTAGTCACAGTTTCTGAGAGAGAGCGCGTAATCTAGCGTGATCAACAGTCTGAACAAGGCTAGCACCTTCAAACTCTCGGTCACGATGACTTTTAATAAGAAATATAAAAAATTTCGTTAGAAACAAAGAAAATAGTACTGAATTACTAAATGTTGTCAATAAACTTGTAAGACAGTGATAGCTCGACAATGTCACCAGTGACGAATATGAAATTGGCGGCAACGGAAATACGGTTCTGTGGGAGGATACTAAGAATACCATGGACGGAGCAAGTAAGCAACAAGGAAGTCTTAGAGAAAATGGTAACAGAAAGGACACTTATATTCAAAATCGGGAAAGGACATCTGAAGTTTCTTGGAATATAACGAAGAAAGAAATCTTTGAAAACAGAGTATATTGAAGGCAAGAGAGAAAGCATTGGAAATTAATTGTGCCTTGTGTGTCAACCGGTCTAGTTCAGAGTATTACTTCTAAGAGAAGGAAAACTCTGAATTTAAAGGAGAGGGTTGGCCTCTCTCAGGCTATTTTGCCCAAGCAACACCGCTTCTGCTGCGGGTGCGCTACATAGGGTACCCTATAACCCTGAGAGGTCACGGGATCGCTACTTAAATATCTGTGATAAATGTTAACTATTGTCCCCAACGTTTCGCCAACCATGCTACCCAGATTCGTCAGACTGGGTTCTAAGGAAAGTAACTCTGAATTCAAAACCGGTCAGGAGCGGTTTGGGCTCCATCAGGTTATGTTGCCCAAGAAACACCACTACTACTACGGCTGCAGTACATGTGTCCTTACGACCCTGATGGGTCACGAGATTTGCGATTGATTGTAAAAGAAGAAAAATTCATTTCATCTACGTTTAGAAAATCACAATTAATTTCCATTAAATTAAAATTCAAGAAAAAAAATAAAATAAATGCAGAGTTGATGTAAAAAATCCCGTAAAACCGATAAAATCTTTTAGACATAAATTCATTGCGTGTTTATTTATCGATTTTTTTTAGTGTTATTTATAACATTTTTCGTGTTTTTTAATAACATTTCAGCTTTTGTCATTGGTGCACAAAAACTTAACAAAACGCACTATGCATGTTATACTATGTTATATGCTCTCTTCGTGGTTCTTCGAAACATTTTATTCTTTAGAAACGATTCCTTCTCTACCAAGTTCTCTACCGTTTTTCGTCACCCATATACGCAAACTCGTCAAGTAGGTTAGCCCACTGCTTTCTCTCTTGCCTTCAATATACTCTGTTTTCAAAGCTTTCTTTCTACGTTATGTATCCAAGAAACTTCAGATGTCCTTTCCCGATTCTGAATATAAGTGTCCTTTCTGTTACCATTTTCTCTAAGACTTCCTTGTTGCTTACTTGCTCCGTCCATGGTGTTCTTAGTATCCTCCCACAGAACCGTATTTCCGTTGCCACCAATTTCATATTCGTCACTGGTGACATTGTCCAGCTATCACTGTCTTACAAGTTTATTGACAACATTTAGTAATTCAGTACTATTTTCTTTGTTTCTAACGAATTTTTTTATATTTCTTATTACAAGTCATCGTGACCGAGAGTTTGAAGGTGCTAGCCTTGTTCAGACTGTTGATCACGTTAGATTACGGCTCTCTCTCAGAAACTGTGACCACGATCCACTCAGCATAGTTACAGTATATACCATAGGTAGGCTATGTGAGTGTTGAACAAATAAAAATGTGCTTGAGCAGGCTTGTGCAACGTGGATAAGCTAGCCGTAAGGTCAGCTACTATTATAATATGCATTAATAAATTTTGGGTTTAAAATATCAGGAAAAATACGTATTTTACACTAAAATGTACGATTATTATTATTGGTTTCCTTTTAATAAATAACCAACAAGTCTAGATTTGGGACCAGCGTGCTAATTGCTGCACTAAAGGGAGACGTCCAAGCAGGTATATTATAAAGATACAAGAAATATGTTTGATAGATTACAAAGAAATGCTATTCTTTACTACTATGCGCTGAATTCGATCATTCTTTTCGGTGATCCGACAGTGACCTTCACGTAAGAAATGTATTTGACGGCATATAAGGCACACTTTTTTCTTACTAAAGATATCTTTGAAAATACCCATGCGTCTTATATGGCAGATGTAGGTTTAAAATTCCCAATAGTCGGCCGAAATTAGCTACCTGGCAACTACTATTAGTTTAGACTTAAGCATGAAGGAGCAATGGAACACGTGGATGGCAATGCCTGGACAAGACCTTACACTTACAGGAAGTTATAAAAAGACCCAGCATTGCACAAGTCTGTGAGTTAGTGAAGCAAGCTTGGAATAATATTAAACCAGAAATTATTGTGAAATCTTTTTAAAAAGTGTGGCATTAGCAATGCTCTCAATGGAATGGAAGATGACGCATTATTTCACGACGATGATAGTAGTACTGAAAATGAGTATCAGAGCTTTGACAATGAAGACAACGAATTTTATAGACTTGAAGATGAATAAAATTTTAATGGTAACTATACTGTTTTACTCAATTGTAATAATTGCTTGATTTTTAGTTTGTTTTCTTATTTTTGGATATAATAAAAAAATTTTAAAGGCTCGTGTCCTTTTTTCCTATTATTTTTCGTTTAATTGTTACCATGTCTTGTTTAACCAAAATAATACCTCATACATATAGCCTAAGCTGTACCATTTACTTATAATTTTACTAATTTTACTAATTACTAATTTTCCCTGCTGAAATTGTGGTGTGTCTTATACACCCGTGCGTCTTATATGCCGTTAAATACGGTATATTTGCAATAAAAGGACGTTAATTCACAATTTCGCTATCTTGCTATTTATCCAACAAACAGTATTAATTTCTTCACGTCTATCATTTTTGAATGCTCGCTTTATCTTCGTTTTTTGTCCCCGTACAGCTTCAATCCATACCTGTTTTCCAGCGGTGGTATTTAGTCTGGAAGCCAGGAATTCACAACCGAATGACCCGTACCACTGGTGGTACCATAGCGAACTTCAGGAGAATTTTATGTGATCAAAACTCACGCTATCTTAACATTTCCTACCTTTTTTTTTAATTGGAACTTCCGGAACCTTCCGTATTTTGGGGGGTATTTTTTTTGTTATTCAGCAGATAGAATGTACTTATTGTATGCCTGTTCCCCACTCCCTCCAACGCCGATTGTTCACTGTATTTGACTTTAAATCCTAAAACGCAAAACGTGCTTTTAAAGAGCAAGCCTACAAAGTCAACCAGGACAAAATGGTACACACGATAAAAAACTCTGAAAAGCCCTGGCTCTAAGGATTTATTTTTTTGGGTATAAAAGTCAGCGAAAAAGGTAACTCCGTACAAAAATAATATAAAAAATAAATTTTGATGCGGGTGTCGAACCAGAAATCTTTCCTGTTCCGTTCGACTAATTTAAGCAGTGGGCTACTTCTGCGGGAAACATAGATAATTCAAAAAGATCGGAACTGAAAACGAACATCCTATTGATTAAAGAAAGCAAACGTTAGACCGTAATCAGTTTAGCGCTCTTACACAATTTACTTGGAGCAAATGATTATTTATCGAAGTTGATTACACCTAATATATACGACACGCTGTGTTTTCTTCGGTTTTATCATTTACCCTAATCACTATTTATGTTGTGTTTTCAAACGTTTGCCAAACAACGTTCTCATCCCTGTTGCTTTCTTGTCGGATAAGTTGTCGTTGGTAATATGACGTCTTCTTCTTCTTCTTCTTCTTCTTCTACTAGTTTTCCTTCTCTATTTCTTTTTTTAGTTCAATGGTCCTTCATATTTTTCATTAGATTCGTTTTCTTATATATGTGTTTATATTGTTTTACTATTCGGCTTTTGTATTTTATTTATTTTTTCAGGTTTTTCTTATCTTCCCTTTTCTTCTTCTTCTCTTTTTCTTTTTCTTCTTCTTCTTCTTATTCGAGTTCGCTGTCCTTTGCATCTTATTCTTCTCATATACTTCCACTTCTTTTTCGTCTTCTTTCTTTTTGAATTTCTTTTTTGACGTTTTCTCTTATTTTTCTTCTATTTTTTCCTTCTTCCTTTTCTCCTTTTAATTTGGTTTATACCTTCATCCGTTTTTTTTCTTCTTCTTTCTTCTTCGGCCGTCATCTTTTTCTTCTTCTAGTACTTCTTTTTCTACTTCTTCTTTTCTACTTCTACTTTTTCGTATTATTAGAAGTAATATTCCAGTTTTTCCTCATTGTGTATCTATATTTCTTTTTTCTTCTTTGATTGGTGTTGTTTTCATTCTTTCTATTTTCTTTTATTCTACAACTCGTTCGTTCATTTGTTGTTTTCTTGGCATTCTATCCTTCTTTATAATCTTCTTCTTCTTCTTCTTCATCTATGATGTTTTTATTCTTCTTACGCACTTTCATCTAACATTTTTACTTTCTTTTGTCTTTTTCATCTTTCATTTTTTTTCTACCATCGTCTTTTCATCTTCGTTCATTTCTTTTGGTTGTTATTGCAGTTTTTGTTGTAGTTGTTGTTCTACTTCATTGCCGAAATGTGTTTCCTTCTTATGTTTTTCTTCCTATTTCAAGCTTCATGTTTTCTTTGTTCACTTCATCTGCTTTCTTTTCTTCTCGGTCACTTATCTAAACATTCATTGTTCCGTTTCTATTATTTTCTTTTAAAATAGTATCTTCCATACTGTTCTCTACAATTCCAGCCATAACTTTGCCGAAATTTCTTTCATTTATTGTTTTCTTTCTATTTTGTTATTTCCTATTCATTCTTCATTTGAGTTTTTATCAACTTATCCTCTTCTTCTTCTTCTTCTTCTTCTTCTTCTTTTCACTTCTTTTTTTTTCTTTCCACTTCTTCTTCTTCATTTTATATTCTGGTTTTTGTTCAGTTTTTTTGCATTTAATCATTTTCTCAATTTTATCTTATACAAAATCATTTTTCAATATTACATTTATATTTGCTCACATTTAATTCCATAGTATCGGAATTATCCGTTTATTTCCCTAACAATTTCTTCTTTTTTCTTCTTCTTCATCTACTTCTTTTTTCTTGACCTTTTTCTCATCTTCTTATTCTTTATTTTACTGCTTCTTCTTTGTTTTCTTCTTTTTCTTCTTTTTCTTCTTCTTCTTCTTTTTCTTCTGCATTGCCCATATACATTTCTTTTTTTCTTGATCATTTTGTTCTCCTTTACCTTCCGTTGTTGTTGTTGTTATTGTTGTTGTTCTTGTTCTTCTTATTTTTCTTCTTCTTCTATTTCTTTATTCTTCGTCTTTTTCCTCTTCTTGGTCTTTCTTTTGCTTCTTCTTCTTTGTTTTTTCTCCTTTTTTTTCTTTTTACTCTTCCTCTTCTTTTCGTCTTTTTCTTTCTTCTTTTCTCATTCCTTCTTATATTATTTCTTTTAATTTTCTGAGTCCAAGTTTTTCTTCCTTCACTTCATTTACTTTCTTTCTTCCGGTTTATAATGTACTCCTTCTTCTCCTCCTCCTTCTTCTTCTTCGTTTTTTAATCTCTTTTTTGATGTTTTCTTTTCTTTTTCTATTTTTCCTTTGTTTCTTTTCTAATTATTCGGTCCATGCCCTTCTTCTTCTTTTAATTTTCTGCTTCGTCTTCTTCTGTTCTTCCATCATCCGCTTCTGTCTTCTCTCATTCCTTTGTTTTCCTTTTTTTATCGTTCATCTTCACAGTCTTCTTCATCAAAGTAATTTCGTTGTCACTGTTCATTGAATTATTCTTTGTCAGTCTTTGAAATCTTGTTCTTCTTCCGTCCGCTACCACTCGGCCCTCACCCCAGCACCCAACATATCTACGCCGACGTCCACCCTTGCCTCAAACCTGTCTGACCGGCAACCTAATTAGCAGAGGCAAGACATAATTGACATAATCAACAGACAAGTTGATTCACTTCAGACAGAAATCGATATTCCCAACATAAATTCATTCTTCTTTACTTGGCACCTTTTAAATTTATATTTACATAGATTTTTCTTTTGTTTTCTACGAAAAAAAAGTTACTTTTCTTTTAATTTATTGATCGGGTCAGTAGCTTGAGAATCTGCACATCAGAAATTGGTTGAATGCAAATCAAGCGCTGATACTTTCTCGCTAGAAAATGACATGGCCTAATGATTTCTGCATTAAACAAATTCCTTCATCTTTTTCTCTTGACTCCATTCACAGACATATAAACAGATTTGATATTATAAATATAACACAGTGTTTTCTCGATTATCCGGAACACTGGTTCCCGTATGCTCACTGAAATTAAGCAACGTCGAGCCTGGTCAGACCCAAGATGTGTGACCACTTCAGAATACCAGGTGCTGTAAGCTTTTGGGTTTAGATAGTGGCTGGGAATTGATAACTGGAGAACTAAGTTCCAATTCTAGTTGGGAAAGATATAAATCTACCTCTTCTCCGTCAGCTAATTCGTAAGACTGTTATCAGTAAAACAATTATTATGTCGCAAAAAAAAAAAAAAAAAAGATGTTGATGCAGTGCTAAACTAAAACAACTAAGCGAACGCCTTGCGGCAAGATTTGAAAGAATATGTTCAGATAATTAAAATTCCGGATAATTGAATACCCAAATTTTGGCCAGGTTTATTTATGCATTTATTTATTTTTTTGAAACTGTTTCTCTGTTTCGGCTATACTCGCGTTTTATTCCGCTTTTAACAAGCTGTAATAAAGTAGATGTATTTGCAAGTATAGCTTCTGGTTCAAAGCTCAACCAACTTAAGAATTTGTCGAACGTAATCATTGTTTCTGTCTATATTTCTGAGATGAAGTATCTTAATCGTTTACGTTATTTACATTGATCAGACTATTGTTCGCATCTTTATTGCCATATTCACGACGTTTCGATCGTTGTACGCTCTGGCATTTTTCAGGATCTGTCTATATTTCTGAAATGAGGTATTGTAATTATTTACATTATTTACATTGTTCGGACTATTGTCCTCATCTTTATTGTCATATGCACGACGTTCCGGCTGCTTTACGCTCCGGAGACATGGCTCAGTGGATAAAAGCGTTGGTCGTATCCAGTGACTTGATCCAAATTGTTGTGAGTTCAATACCTGGCTATAGCAGAGATGAAAAAAATCTGGAGAGTTGAGTTAAAGGGAGATTACTGAGACATCTAGAAGGGGCATGTCACGTGGAACTAGAAAAAATCTATCCTGATGGACGAAATAAAGGGTTCAGTTCGAAATTTCAATCACCTAAATAAGGCCGGGGTGTACAATGGGCGAAATGGCGTGAATGTGCCTATGAAGATGTGGACAACAGTTCAAACAATGTAAATAAAGTAAATAATTGCTTCGGTGATTGAAACTGAAATTTTGAACGTTCGGTACAGATTCCTAAATTCTCGAAACGCTTCTTGGTTCAATTCTTTCTGCTATAAGTAAATCATCTGCCTAAGTGTACGCTCTGAGCTTTTGTTGACGATAGAATGATATATGGGTGCACCTATAAAATTCTAGAAAGCTGTAGATATCTCCTCTAAACTAGCTCTAACAACTCAATGGGGGAAAATTGGATGGTGCCATTCATTGCCTTGAGAACGAAATTAATAACGTTCTATCATCACCGATCGGGTGTTCTCTCAGCGAGGCCTCGTGTCTTGAGCGTCTATTTGATTTAATCTTATCCGAGGCTTCAAATGGAACACGTACATATGATCCATCGCTAAAAATACTGAAAAAATTCTCGTTTCCTTGTACCCGAGTCCCCCTACTACCTCTACAAATCATGTCAAAAAATGAGTACTACTACCATATATGGGCAGGAATTGCTAGTCCTCTACTTACAGATCTAAATATATTTCAAAAGCGTCTCTGCTATCTTGTGATTGATGAATTATTTTCCAATATACAACCCCTTGATCACAGACAAATTATTGCAAGCTATTCGATCGCTATTTCCATGGAAAGTGTTCAGACGAACTCGATTTCTTCCTTCTAACATTTTTAACCTTCACGGCTAAGAACTGCTATGCCAAATTTTAGTGAACCTCCATTATTCTCTTCGTATTCCATTGATCCAAGATTCTTCCCTCGAATTCGTGGAATCGAAGAGAAGGTGCCTCCTCGATCACTACAATATTAGTCTGTTCCATTCTAATGTTAACTATTATCTTCCACACAGAGCCTCATAAACTGTGCTTTTTTCCTCTTACTCCGTAACTCTCTGCCTTGAGTGATTCTTCAACTGATTCCGGAGAACTAAAAATTGGTCGTTCATGGCTTCAGTTCAGATCTGTACTAAAATCTTTTAAAAGAACTCTCTTAATGAACTGATTAGACGCAATACCTTATTTCCTTATTTGGAATGCGTTTCTGAAGTCTAATAATTAGCAGGTCTTTTAGGACATAGTTAATATAGTCTTACTCTCCCAATAATTTTTGCATTAAGTCCTGACCACTGAAATTCTTTACATTTTACCTTCAATGTAATTCTAAGTAAAATCATTAGCGATTTATTTACATTAAAATAAATTCACAGCATTTATAAAAATAATATGTTAGTGCTGCTTTCAATAGTCCCTGACCACTGACAATTAATTACTTTTTTATTTTCAATTAATTTCTATAGGAAATCCTTTAGCAATTCATTGGCATTAAATTTGTATTCGACATATTCTTTCAGTAAAATTTCCATTAGTTCTTGACCATAAGTATTTAGTTTTTTCTTCATTTTCTATGGCTCTTAGTATTACATTTACCTGCATATCATTTCAATAATAAAGTTATTTGTAATGCTTTCACGTAATAAAATTATTAACACGTCTACATTACATATAATAAAACACTTTCTGTAAGGATCGTATTAATCTCTGACCAATGAAAAATTCTTGAAGATATTCTTCTATTATATTCATTGAGAATACATGAGCGCTAGAAATATACTAACAATATTTACCGTGTAAAGTTTGCATCAATCCATGGCCAATGAAAATTCTTGAATGAATGAGTTATTTCTTTGATAAATCCTACCTGCAACAGGTGAATGATTTCTGTCTAGATTCTCTATCAAAATTATCAAGACATTTCGAGTGGACACGTTATTGTCAATTACGTGATTTACTCTCTTGCAATGTTTATTTTTATAGAAAAGTAACATGACAGGAAATTGTAGAGAGTCATGATCTCCAACGTTATCGAAAAAGAAGAATACGATTTCAGCAAGGCATTCCTTTAATAAAAATATTAGTAGTAAATTTAAATTAAATATGCAGTAAGACTTGCAAGACATCGTGATCTCCCACAATCCTTTTCTTCTTCATATTCCATATCGTTCCCTAGTAAATTTGATTCATTTACTTAAGCCTATATGGTGGAATAATGGATAGTGGCTCGGATTGAGCCGAGTTCAAATTCCAGTCGATTTCATCGTATTCACTTACATGCGATTATCCTTCGGTAAGGTATGGATATCTCTTCCCCCGGCTTCATTCATAGCTTACACCAAAACACCTTGGTTGGTAACCTGTTTAGGAGAAGGAAAGAGATATTCATAACTTGCACCAAGACAACGGAGCTGGCATCCAGTCTAGGAGAAGAAATAGATATTCATACCTTATAAGATAGATAGGGGAAAGGGATATTCATACCTTACAGCAAAACACCTTGGTTGGGAACCAGACTAGAAGAATGAAAACTTTGAATTAAAGTTAACCTGGTTGCGTGAAGCTGTCTTGCCCAGGAAACACCATAACTGATATTGCTGGAGGAGACTCCTTTACTTTGAGCTTTCTTTAGTTTGAAATAATTGGCATTTACGTCTTTCTTCAGTTTCAATGGATTTTAATAATGAAATTATCTCTGGCGTATTACAGTAGTAAAATCATTTGCAATACTTTTTTTTATAGTGAAATTAATATTATTGTTATTAATGCAACTACCTTTTACAATATTCTCTCACTAATGCTTGCATTGATTCCTGAGAACTAAAAATTGATCGTTCATGGTTTCAATTCAGATCTGTACTAAAATCTTTTAAAAATAACTCTTTTAAATTCATTAACGCTATAAACATAATAACAATTTTGAATATGAAAATTTCTCCGATTTAATCGGTAGAGAAGACAATATTTATGAATAAAAATGACAATAGGAAAACTGGTAATTGCTGACGCGTTTCGTCCAATGTGGACTTTATCAAAGCAAAATACGAAAAAAATAAAAAAATAAAAAAAAATCGTATTTTGCTTTGATAAAGTCCACATTGGACGAAACGCGTCAGCAATTACCAGTTTTCCTATTGTCATTTTTATTCATAAATAATAACAATTATTTCAATCCATAAATGACTGACTGAAACTATTATTTGATTAATAAATCCTGCTTACATTAGTTGAATGACTTCTGCTTGATCAGTCAGTCATGTGCCATGCATGATACACGCTTAGGCGATCATGTATCTTTCAATACATGACTGACGAAGCAGATGTTTTCCCCAGTAGATTGCCATTTCTTTCTGCGGTATACCAGGTATCATCCAAAGCTATAGAATCCGGTCTGTTCTGCTATTTACCCATAACTGGCTGTAAGAAGAGGTTTCATACCTTTTCCAAGAGTATCACCACGTAAGTTAATGTAATGTCAAGTGGAATTCGAACTCGGCTCTCCGATTCCTCAATCCAAGCCGTTATCCATTATTCCACCATGCTCGATAGTGTCTCTAAATCAAAAGACATTTCGATTGGACACCTACTTCTCA